AAAAAAAAAAAAAAAAAAAAAAAAAAGGTCAGAAATGTCAGTTCTCTCCTATTTTAAGGGGACTACCACAAACTCACTAGGCTAGGGCAGAGCAGGATTCCTTGGTGGATTTCAGGCCTACTTTTGCCATTTTCCTTAGGCTGTCTTCTGTGAATCACGGCCAACAAAGAAGTCTTTCCAGTGGAGGTTTCTTTTTAAAAGTAAAAGGACATGGGCATTGAATATGATTTACAAGGCACCATCTTTTACCACCTCCTTGGCTGCCTTGGAGGGGGTAAATTGAGCAATTCTGCTGCAATTGGAATCATTGATATAATAGCAATAAAGAAATAATGCTTGAGATGTAGCCAGGACACCGAGGCACAGTGAGTCCCCAGAAGCCTGTGAACCGCTGTCTTCGCTCAAACCTTCTTGGGTCCCTGTCATAGGCAGTTTTTCTCCCTGCTGGCCAGTGGTCACCACTTTTGGCCTCTGCTCCTACTCTGGTGTGGGATCAGTTGAGCTGGGCTCCCCTGGAGTAAATATTGCTGGGGTCTGCTGACACAGGGCCAGACTCGTCAGGAGGGACAGGCACAAAGGAGTCAAGTGTGCTGGGGTCTTATGTGCTTTCCTCTATTTGTAAATACATCTTTGTGCTCTAGCCTGATACTTTATGAACTCTCCTATACACAGCTGACCTACAGCAGGGCTTGGGGAGGACACCATGAAAATGAGTGAGGTTTTAACCAACTCTTCTTGTCAAAGTGTTTTCGTGATGGTGGAGGCACCTCCATTTTACTGCGTTGTCAGAGGGTACCTATAAACAGGGGTCATCCTGCAAACTTCTGGGCAAACTGTTTGCTTGTTTTTGCACAGATTCTCACATAAATAATTACCATTGGCTTGGTCTGTCAGAATGGAATAATGTTCATTTTGAGGGCAGAACCAGTCATCTCGAGAAAGTAGCCTTCCAGGAGGATGCTATCAAAAACTCAACGTTAGAAACCCTTGTAGTCTCTCTTCCCTTGGAAAATACAATAACTGTCCAGGTCTCTTGGGAACAAGAACTATCCCCCACTCTATCATATTATTTAGGAAGTGCCTACAGGTTTTAGATGCTGTTCAGTGTATGTTTTTCCTTTTGAAGGTTTGCAGGTACAAAGAAATAAAAGTGAAGAGTACTCATGTCTTCTCAAGAGGAAACTGGCTGAGTCTTTTCTGGACTAGCACTTCCTAAGTTAGGAATCGCTGAGGGATGTGGGGGCGAATGGACAGGAAGGAACAGAAGCCAGAGAAACATGCCCAATCACACGACTTATTTTCTCTGGCCCTTTCACTTGTTTGATTGCAATTTAGAGCCTGCCTCCTTCTTGGCTCCAGCCATCTCTCTGATTTATGGAACTGTAACTGTTCTGGTCTTTGATGTTCCTGTGTCTTATAAGAGTAAGGACTCTCTCTCTCTCA